AGTTTTCTGCTTGTTCTTCTGTTTTACATACCTGCGTCCTCTTTCCCCAACCAGATTTGAAAGTACTTGATGGCAGGAAGTGCTTATCTAGTCATTGCTTTATTCAACTTTTTTCTTCCCTATGTCTTGCCAGTGCTGGTACAGTGTCTTTCTAGAAACTGAACAAATCTGTGGGTTCCAAATTTTCATTTAGATAATGTGGCTGTAAACTTTTTTTTTTCCAATCCTACAAGATGAATACTTTTATTTCCCTAAAGCAAATATGTTGTTTTACGTAATGAAATATATTGTTCAAGGCTCTTTCCCACCCAATGGTCCAAATCTCTATTCATACTCATTTTTGAATTTCAACAGGTTCCTAGAAACAACTGCCAACCTTCCCTTCTGGGATGTAGCAAAGTCTTCAAGGCAGTTTGAAACGGGCACCATGTACACGGAACAGGCTCTTTAGTGTAGAGAAAGTTAGAAATAGAAATTCAATGAGCTGAGTTCAATCAACATTTCGAACTTTTATGTACTCAGAGGAGTTTTTAAGAACCCATATATTGGTTGCATGTGGATTTCCTTCCACATTTCCTTCTCTCAAAGTTAGCATCACTAGCCAGTATTTTAATAGGAGAGGAAAGGATTGGAAACCCAGCAGCCAGAATAAATAACAGCAAGGAGTGTCTCAGGGGGGAAAGTGGAAACATGATAATTCTGTGGCTTCCTTTAAGCTTGTTAACAGGCTATACGGTAAGCAGTTGGCATAGTCACACAGGAAACATTTATTGTCAGATGCTCATCCTCAAATTCAAAGCTAATCATTTTCATCCCTACTTATATCCCAGAGAGCAGGAAGCAGATTTAAAACAGCCCTGAATACCAATGTATGTAATATAAATTTTAAGTATGGTAAAACTGTTTAGCAATAGATTTGTCTATCCTATTTCTCTGCTACAGGTGTAAAGAAAATAATAAGAATGTAATCTCCAGGAAAAAATTTGTGGTGATTTAGAAGAACATACTGGTATTATTTTGTCTAGAAGTAGAAAACATTTTCAAACATCCAGTTAAAGTGTAGAAAAATCATATAATATACCCTTGTTCATACACCAAGATTAAATAGATTTACATTTTTCCATCTCTTTTCTTATAAAGTGTTACCAACACAGCTATAGTCATGCTATCTCTTCCCCTCTGCCTGAAGCTGATGTCTATTCTCCTGTATACTTTAAATTTAATAACATAAATATATGTCCACAAGGAAATTACATTGTTCTCTTTTGTTTTGAATTTTTGCATAATAATACAATGATGCATATTGGGTGCCTTGATCATTTCACTCAACATTTTGTTTTTCAAACTTATCCATATTAATACGTGCAGACCTACTCCATGCATCTGCACTATTGTATGATATACATTTTCTGAATACTACAGTTATCTATTGTTCTATTGAGGGATAGAGTTAGATTATCCCATTGTTTCACTAAATTATCTTGTACTTGTCTTCTTGTGCACAGGGATAAAATTTTCTAGGAATGGAATTGCCCAGTTAATGTTTATATTTAACTGCATCTTTATTAAAGATTGCAAAAATGCTTCCCAAACTAAGTAAACCAATTTGTAGTCTACCACCAATGCCTTTGAGTTCCTGTTTCTCTATGTTCAACTCATACCAACATTTGTTGTTTTCAGACTTGAATAATATTTGCCAATCTGAGAGTGGTAAAATGATGTTTCATTATTATTTGAATTTTCATCCCCCTGATTACAAATGAGGCTAAAGAACTTTCCATATGGCTTATTAACCACTGAGAATTTCTCTTCTCTGAATTATCTGCTCATCCTTTGCCCATGTCTCTTTTGGGTTGTTTTCCTTGTAAAACTTGCCTGTAAAACCATCTGGGCCTAGTGCTCATTTTATAAATAGATTTTAGATTATTGGTTCTACTTCTTTAGTGGTAATGCTTTCTATTTCTTAAGGCAATTTAATAACCTAAATGTTTTAGTAAGAAATGAATGATTTTCCTAACTCTGGATTTTGTCTGTAATTTTGAATGCTATTTTAGCTAGGTGTAAAATTATAGATGACTATTAATTTCTCCTATTATTTTGAAGATATTATTCCAATGTTATTGCTGTTGCAAAGCTCACTGTCTGTCTTATTGTTAGTATTGTGATAATCTGGCTTTTTTCCCCTACCTTTTAAATGTTTTCTTTGTTTCTTTGCCTGCAGTTTCACTATGTATGTCTGGATGTGGGCTTATTTTTGCTTACCCTACCCAGAACATGTTGTATTTTTTAAATTTAGGAATCATGTCTTCAATTCATTATGGAAAATTCTGTTATTATCCTGCAAATATTGCCTCTCTGCCAATCTCTCAATGTCTCTTAACCCCTCTTCCCTTTTGTCTATTCCTTTCTCTCTTCATGCTTCATTCTGATCAATATGCTCAGATTTACTTTGTCACTAAGCCTCTCTTTGGCTATCTAGAGTTTACATTTAATTTGTCCAATGGGTTTTTAACTTCAATAACCATTTTTTTAATTTCTAGAAATTCTATTTGGATATTTTTCAAATGTCTGCTCTTCTCTAAAAGTATCTTGTTCTTTTTCTGATTTTGATCACTTCTTTTGTCTTTCATTATGTTAAACATATTTTTATAGTCTTCCATTAATTATTCTATCATTTCAAGTCCCTTGAGCTTTAATAAACCTATTTGTTAGGTCTGTGGACTCTTGGCTCATGGTGGATTTTGTCCTCAATTATTATCATTAAATTTTAAAACTATTAATAATATATCAGTCAGATTCCTGGCAGGAAACATAGGACACATCAAATAGAGTATTTATGGAGAGTTTCATAAAAGGACTATTTCCAAATGTCTGGGCATGATAAGAGCAGCCAAACAATAGTGAAACATGAAGTTGTTGCTATCCCACCATAAGTGGCACAAGGAGGAAGTGATTCCCAGACCTGTAGGTAGAAGACAGGTCTGCCCAACAGGAGCCGTGGTCTTTGGTAGTGGTAGGCTGACACTGCCAACCAGTGACGCAGAACAGGTGTGGCTGGAGAAAAAATATCATGACCTTGCTTAACTATTGTCCTTCAATCTCCTGCCATTACCTCCCACTGGCTGAACCCAGTAAAAAGCCAGGAAGCCCAGGCGATGCAATATATAGAGGTCCATCTACTGGGGAACAAAGCAGGGTGGAGAAGGATGGAGCAAAGGTCTAGAGGGGCAACCAGAGGACACTGGGCACCATTGTAAGCTCGTGTTCAGTGTTGTTTTATCTGTTAGAAGCCCTTGTTGCTTGGGGGGGGGGGCATACCCATCCAGAGAAACTTTATATTTGCTTTCTACATATGCCTTAAGGGTATCACCGGCCTAGACTCAAGTTCGGTGTTAGTTTTCAACACCAGAATTCCTGATCCAGAAGAATAGTCTAAATTCTAACCCTAAATCATGTGAGATACAGATCCATCATTATACAATCTAAAGGGAGATAATTTTTACTTTTACCCAAAGCACATTCATGAGCAGAACAGTTTTTTGTTGTTGTTGCCTTATTATGATAATAGATGGGACTTTTCAACCTTGTCCCTATATATGCAGCCCTTTAAGAATCTTGGCTTTATGCAGGGATTTTGGTTCCTACTATCTACGTTGCATAAATTGAAGACCTTATATTCAGTCGTCACTGCATGGGTGGTAAAATTCAAACACCTAGCTTACCCAGACTGAGAACCTCCTTACCCACCAGCCAGTTACATGCTTCCCACTCTGCTATAATTTTCATCACAGAGATACAAGGGGAAATATGAGAACAATCTATGTTATTTTCATCTATGTAAGAAATTAAGCATCACTAACATTTTATATAAATACTGACACTGGCATGGTCATTCAGTTACATGCCAGATGGTCACAGTCAATCCATAAGATGTCCTGAAGGAAGAGGAGGATATGAAAATGTTGAGGGACTGACACTCTTTGATTCAGCCTTGGCATTTTGTGACATTTCAGCTTATGTATTACAAGATGTCATCAAGTTTTCTTTTATAAAAATAAGACCTTTAATGGTAGAATCTTTATAAAGCTTTACAAACAAGGTGGTACACATTCCATTGTGTTTGTTACAGAATTTTCTGGTTAACTTGTGGCAAAGTACTTGAAATAGTTATCAACTTAAAAATTAGTTAATTATTTTTCTTTCATCAGAAGGCTGTTGTCCTCATTTTCTGGCAAAGAACAGAAGCTTTGCCTGATGACAAGTGGCTATCATTAGTTGGCTACTTACAGACTTAAAATTAATGCACTAATGTGTCTCTTCAAGGTACATAATAACATTTTGGCAAAATGTGCAAAAGTACCTGATTTTTTTTTTCAGAGATATTTTATGGAGAAAACATTTCCAAAAGAAATGTTTGGAAAAATGTCCAACCTTATGTAATTTTTGTCACCAAAAATGATATAAGCATATCACTTATAAAAATATTATCATAAATATATACAGACAAGCCTCGAAATGGAATATTCTAAACTGAAAAATATCTTTAAAATGCAAAGGTTGACTGGCTTTTAAGACCACTAAAATATACGCAAATGCAAAATTTTCATAAATTGGCAAGGACTGATTTGTATCATGGAAAATGGAAATTAATAACCAAATTACAACAAAAACTTTGGCATAAATGGTGAATGGATTTTTTTTAAAAATGAGCACCACGAATCAGAAGCAGTAGGTAATGAAGGTCTTATAAAATGCAGTGACGGATTTCAGAGCGCAGAAGCTGAGGTCATCACTCTTTGCAGTTGGAGATCTAAGAGATATATTTTCACGGTCACTACAGCAATACAATAGACAAAGCTGCCAGGTGCTGCCAGGTTCTGTGTGAGGTTCAGGGCCACCAGGATAAGTGAAGTCATTCCTGCCTTTCATTCAGTTGTAAATAAATTTGCTGGCACAGGCCTGCATCAGCATCTTAAATGCCTACACAGCAGCCCACCTACCTGTTTGCTGAGTATGGAGGGACATCTGCACAGCACACAGCCTATAAACAGTGAAGACAGGGCATAAGTGGAAGGCAAAACAGAAGGAAAATCCAACTACACAGATGCTTCTCTCAATTTTTCAAATGCTTTTCTCTTCCTTGTATCTCATCGAGTTCTTGGTCTATGACCAAATATTATTTGGAAAACGTAAGGCCCATATGTTTATACAGGTAAAGTTTTGTTTTTGTTTTGTTTTTTGTAAATGCTCTTTTATAGTATATTGGGCTGTTTTCCAAATCCTTGACCAAACATGATGCTAGAAATGATGAGATCACTTCTGTGAGGTGATTCTGCTGGGAAAAATGTTTGGTACTACATCCACAGTTGAATTTTTATTAAATTTTATTCTACAGGCTATGCTCTCATTGGCTCCTACACAAATTTCCTAGCTCTAGCTTCATTTTGTTGATTAATGATTCTAACTTTCAATTTAATTATCAAATTTGTTGATACGAGACTTAAAAACCACATATAGTAGGGGCGCCTGGGTGGCTCAGTCGGTTAAGCATCTGCCTTCTGCTCAGGTCATGATCCCTGGGTCCTGGGATCGAGCCCTGCATCGGGCTCCCTGCTCAGTGGGGAGCCTGCTTCTCCCTCTCCTCCCTGCTTGTATTCTCTGTCTCTCCTTCTCTCTCTCTCTCACATAAATAAATAAATAAAATCTTTAAAAAAAAACACAAAAAAACCCCACTTATAGTAGAAAGTCTAAAAATCCTTGGCCTCAACCATATGCTAAAAGTAGAGATTCCCAACATTTATGAAATAAGATAGTGCCTAATACTCTAAATATATTGGGTTTCCTAATACACAACCTCTATTCCACCCTCTTCACCATCAAAAAAAAAAAAAGTATTTGTAACATCTCTTTATTTGAAAAGTAAATTTATTTTTAAGTTGTACTTTTAACATAGATTAGTCCTTAAAGTAATCAAAGATAATTGAAGGTGTATAAAAACAAAAGGCCTAGATTAAAGGACAGGTACACTTATGTTGCCTTCTTGTGTTAAGTATAGTAAAGTACTAGGCTAATCCTATACTTTACTATTAACCTACTAATATAACTCTTTACTACTATACTATACTATACTATACTATACTGTATGGACCCATAGAGGGCCCATATATGAGTTACTATAATGCCAGCTACTGAAACAAATATTTAGACTGTTAAAGGCATAGAAATTAAACACTCATTTTTTACTCATATACAGTCCAGTCAGTGGTGAAAAGGAAACCTAGGATAATGGTATTATGATTAAGAAAGTGGTTTTTATAGGGAGACATCTGGGTTCAAAACCTCAACTCTACCACTTAATAATGGTGAAACCTTTGGCACTTTACTTAACCATTCTGTATCAGAGATAGGCAGAGACTAAGGAGACACAATTAAATTCAACATGAGATCCAGGACCAGAAAAAGGCTCTTAGGGGCGAAACCAGAGAAAGTCACAAAAGAGCTGTAGGTTAGTTAATAGTGCTGTGTCAAAGTCGATTTCCTGGCTTTATTTTTTTTTAAGATTTTATTTATTTGACAGAGAGAGAGCACAAGCAGGGGGAATAGCAGGGAGGGGAAGAGGGAGCGCAGGGAGTGATGTGGGGCTCAATCCCAGGACCCTGGGATCATGACCTGAGCCGAATGCAGAAGCTTAACCGACTGAGCCACCCAGGAACCACCCATTTCCTGGTTTTAACTGTCATACAATGGCTATGCAAAATGTAAGCATTAGGGGCAGCGGTGTAAAGGCTTTATCTGGGGGCACCTGGGTGGCTCAGTCGTTAAGCGTCTGCTTTCGGCTCAGGTCATGATTCCAGGTCCTGGGATCGAGCCCTGCATCGAGCCCTGCATCGAGCCCTGCATCGAGCCCTGCATCGAGCCCTGCATCGGGCTCCCTGCTCAGTGGGAAGCCTGCTTCTCCCTCTCCTGCTCCCCCTGCTTGTGTTCCCTCTCTCGCTGTGTCTCTCTCTCTGTCAAATAAATAAAATCTTTAGAAAAAAAAAAAAGGCTTTATCTGGGAACTCTCTGTACTATTTCAGGAGCTGTTCTCTATGTCTAAAATTCTTTACAAGTAAAAAGCTTAAAAAAGAAACATTTAAAAGATCTTTTAGTGTAGTGGCATTTTGTCTGACCCTGTCATCTGGTAGCAAGGTTGTGAGCATGGCACCTAACCTATAACTGTCACTTCAGTTTAGTTATTGGTGGGTTCACAAGTGGCCTCAGTTAATCTGGCATTTCCAAGCTTTGCAACTCTTGTCCTCGGGGAGGGAAAGGTCTGCAGAACACATGAATAAAGAAGAGGGGCAGCAGGAAATTTGCAAAGAAAGAAATGATGGGTAACTCCTGTCCCCTCAAAATCCCCTAACGGAAAGAGGATCCAGAGGATAGCTAACTTTCTTTCACAGCAGGGATTGGATCGGAGTCTGATGGCATCATCAGTATTGACAACAGCAGTAAAAACAAGGAAAAGCCCATATCTGCCATGAAGACATTTTGAAAAGGTACCTCCATGTTCATAGTTGAGGCTACTTGACCCAGTGGGTGATTTGTATAGTCCATTTTTCCTTCTCCTTTTGTGCCCTCTGCCTTACATGTCCAGGGTACCTGGATTCCGAAATGCTGCATGAACTGCTCTGGTGTCTCTATTGTGTGGTCTGCAGCAAAGCAATGGAAACCGAGAGGCAGAAGGCAGTAATTGGCTTATCTCATGTTTTGACACAGAGACAAATCTATTCTCTGCTGTCGTTCACGTGAGGCTTCTCCAAACTGTGTGGCTTTCATGTCAGATTCGTCTGACAGCTAGTAAAGACTCCAGGGAGGTTGGAATTTATCTGCACCAAGTGAACTGACATGAAAGGGTGAGAGAAGAGGGATGCAGTTAGAATACAAAGCCAGGCTGGGACTTAACTGCCTCTCTAGACCTCGGGGGTTGGGGGGAGGTTTCTTCCTCTTCTGACACTGGAAAATGAAGGAAGCATTTCCTGCCTCGACCATTTCCACCTGGAGTGAGTGGCACTTTCCCACTCTAGGCATGGCCTCGAGATCAGTTATTTGGGTCATTATCTTTGCCTCAGTTGCAAGATGGGGGTGGCAGAAGGGCAGAGACCTGTCAGGAGGGATACATGAGTTCACACCTATAAAAAACTTAAAACCGTGCCAGGCACCTTGTAAGCTCAGTCAGTATTAGCCACTGTTGTTCATGAGGATACTATTATTGCTACCAGAACACTGTATGGGGGAGGGGGTATTTGAAGTGAACAGGAGATAGGCTTTGCGGTCAGAACACGTGGATCAGGGGCGCCTGGGTGGCTCAGATGGTTAAGTGTCTGCCTTCGGCTCAGGTCATGATCCCAGGGTCCTGGGATCGAGCCCCACATCGGGCTCCTGACTCAGCGGGGAGTCTGCTTCTTCCTCTCCCTCTGCCTCTCCCACTGCTCATGCTCGCTCTCTCTCTCTCTGTATCTCTGTGTCTCAAATGAATAAATAAAATCTTTAAAAAATAAATTAAAAAAAAAAGAACACGTGGATCAGGATACCGATTCCAGCACTCCCTAGTTGAGAGATCTGAAGGAAACGAAGTCTCAGTGGCCTTAACTATAAAGGGATAAGAGTGCCTTACTTCAGAGGTATTGATGAGGTTCACAAGAGAAAAAGGACCGGTTGCTTGATATAAAGTAAGCATTATTCCTATGAGCATTAAATCAGTGACCGGCAGAAGTCAGTGATGTTCTGAGTGCAGGCCCCTCCCAGGCTGCACTGGCGGCCATTGGTCCTTTTCTGTAATGGATGAGTGGATGGCCTCACACATACCCTGGAAAGCTGGGGGTGGAAGAATCTTGAAAATCATCTGGCTTCCTTGTTTTAAACATTTTAAGCACACGGCTGTTGGGCAGCAAGCTACACCCAGACCTCACTCACTTGGCTCGTTTCCAGCCCAGCTTTCTCCCAGGTTCTGCGATTAGGCTGAGACCAAGTAAACAAAGACTGGCGAGCTGGGTGAAGTCATTTGGGACAAAACTAATAGAATTTTCCCAGCTGTGTTTGTTTTGTTTACACCATCTACCCATTCTTATTTAGAGACTGTTATCTGACAGCTTTGAAGTACACACACAAATGAAGGGTGGAATTAGTACTCAGAAACTGTGAAGCCCAAGATTATAGCCTTTCTTGTATGATTTTATGCCAGGAGTCAGCAAACTACAGCCCCGCATTCTAAAATCAGACCATCTTCTATTTTTGTGAATAAATCTCTTGGAACACTAGCACGCTCCCTCGTTCACGTACCAGCTGTGGGCGTATTCACACTGGAAGAGTCACCGAGGAGTAACAGCCAACGCTGTATGGTCCCACAAAGCCTAAAATAGTTACTCTCTGGCCCTCTACAGTAGAAGTTTGTGGACCCCTGGTCTCGGTCCACAAACTAATGTAGTAGACAAGAGCATTAAACATCATTTGCTCAAATGGATATCTTTTAAAATGTGGACACCAGGCTTAGAGAATTTAGCATAAAAGTCATAATTCTCAATACTTCTTAAAGAATAAAGGCCACTGGGTAAATCTGTTCTCTAACATCAGTGCAGTAAAAAGAAAATATGAAACTCAAATATGCCCGTCCACTCTGAACATCACAGAAATGTAATATAAGTAAATAGTTGTGAAGTATTCCACATTCCTTGCAAAAAAAGATTCTATAAAAGAGCACAGAGAAATAGGTGAATAGGCCATGTGTCATATGCTTCAAAGTAAAGTGTCTAATGCCAGTCAAGTTATTCTCTTTATAAGTGGACATCAAAACACAGTGGAAGCTTGCAAGCATCATGGGATGGTGCAGACACTTGGAAACTACCATGGCTGAGAAACAGGGTAGATGTTACTTTGATTATCAGCATCCGCCTCCTCAAATTCACACAGAACTTTTAACAAATGATTACAGTCATCAATTTAGCTACTAAAAAGAAAGTTAAATAAAAAAACACAATCTCGTAAAGCCTTCTAAAAGTCTAC